GAGAAAGATGATGACGACGGCGATGAGGAGGAGGAGGAGGAGGAGGAGGAGGAGGAGAGGAGGAGGAGGAGGAGGAGGAGTAGGAGGAGGAGAGGAGGAGGAGGAGGGAGGAGGAGGAGGAGGAGGAGGAGGAGGAGGAGGAGGGAGGAGGGGGGGGGAGGAGGAGGAGAGGAGGAGGAGGAGGAGAGGAGGAGGGAGAGAGGAGGAGGATGAGGGGGGAGGAGGAGGATGATGATGACGATGCTGATGATGATGATGAGATGATGATGATGATGATGATGATGAGATGATGCTGATGATGATGATGATGATGATGATGTGATGATGATGCTGATGATGATGATGATGATGATGATGATGATGATGATGATGATGATGATGATGATGATGATGATGATGATGATGATGATGATGATGAGATGATGATGATGATGATGATGATGATGATGATGATGATGATGATGATGATGATGAGGAGGAGGAGGAGGAGGAGGAGGAGGAGAGGAGAGGGGAGGAGGACGATGAGCAGACAGTTGGATCAGGAGGAAGTTGAAACAGATCAGGAGGAGAGAAGGAGGAGGAGGTAGGAGGAGAGAGGAGGAGGAGGAGGAGAGAGGAGGAGGGAGAGGAGGAGGAGAGGAGGGAGGAGGAGGGAGGAGGAGGAGGAGAGGAGAGGGAGGATGAGGAGGAGGAGGAGGAGGAGGAGAGAGGAGGAGGAGGAGGAGGAGGGAGGCGGAGGCGTAGGCGGATGAGGAGGAGGAGGAGGAGGAGGAGGAGGAGGAGGAGGAGGAGGAGACGGATCAGGAGGAGGAGGAGGAGGAGGAGGAGGAGGAGGAGGAGGAGGAGGAGGAGGAAGAGGAGGGGGATGATGGGGGCGCCTGCCTGATTGGCGGCCCACGGTGCTTCGCAGGGCCGAAGCGGTCGAGCTCGGCGCCTCGGCAGCTTGCCGCGCGGTTCGGAGTCGGCGCCGAAACGCTGCTGAGGCTGCGATCCGCGCTCTTGCGGGCACGCGGGGCTCGCCTGGGTCGTGGCAGAACCGCGAAGTGGCGGCACGCCCAGCCCTGCAGCTGGCATCCAGCGGCCGCCGCGTTCACGGCGCTGCTCGGCGGCGCCGACATGCTGCTTGGCACGCGCTGCGCGTCCCCGCGGAGGGCTTCGCGCGTGCCGCGCAGGAGAGCCTGTCGTGGGCGGCGGCGGGGCCGCGGCTCGGAGCACGGCGTCTGTTCGCGGCGGAGCTGGAGGCGGAGCTCCAGGGCGCTGCCGAGGCATCTGCCGTGGGGGCCGAGACCATCACGGCCGCGCCGTCGCCGCGCGTGGTGGCCATGGGCAAGGCCATGGGCAAGACAGGCTTGACGTCTGCCACGGCCTCCCCTCTCATCAAGTATATCGAAAAGCAGGTCGTCCAGGAGAAGGCGCCCCACGAGGGTGCCGCATCTGGCTGGAGGTGCACATGTGGCGCGATGCTCTTCCCCCCTGTGGGAAGCGCGTCGGAGCCGAGCGAGCTGCTGCAGGTTCGCGACCATTTGTACAATTCGGTTAAGGGGGCGGGCTGCAAGTTCAGGAACAATGCAGTTGAGTTCGTCCCGTGGGAGGCGATGCACTTCGCGGCCATTCGCCGCTTCCAGGTCGACTGGTCTTTGAAGCAGCCCTTCCAAAGCCAGGTGCGCGCGGCTGCTGGCCAATGAAAGGCAAGCTTCGCTGGAAGCGCTACACAGAGATGCATGCCGCCCCTTCGAGTTCGACGGGCCGTGGAAACAGCCCTCCGAAATCAAGCGCGAGAGATTTGCTGGCTGTCCTCCGACAAAACCATGGAGGCAGATGCTGGTTTCTTGCTCAGCAGGTTGGGCACAGCAATCAGCACATTCGGCACGTGCTTCCATCATTTCTTGATTGATTGATTTGCACTTTCCGACTCCATTTCTCTTAGGAGTAGTAAGTCCTCCCGTCACTATGGGTTCGTGCTTAACCCGGTGCAGAATTGGCGAAAAGCACGGGGATTCTGGCGCCGAGGAGTTTTGGGGTGAACCGCTTAGTTCGATCATGGATTGGGCAGAGTGAGGCGAGAACCATTGGAAGAGGATGGTGAGGAGGAGGAGGAGAAGGAGGAGGAGGAGGAGACCTGCTTCAGATAGCCGGCCACTCCTGGGAGAACCGCTCTTTTTCAGGGGTGGCGGAGGAGTCCGCTTGCTCGCGACCATGGAGCGCCCCTGGGAGGGATCCGCGTGCGGCGGCGGCGGCGGCGGGGTGGCGGCGGCGGCGGCGGCGGCGGCGGAGGAGGAGGAGGAGGCGGAGGAGGAGGAGGAGGAGGAGGAGGAGGACACACTCTCGCTTCCCTAGAGTCTTCCTTTGGTGGCGATCGGCGCAGAGTGGTGGGTCTTCAGGGTGGCGGCGTCGTGGGCCGAGAGAGGGAGGGAGAGAGAGAGGCGTGTGGAGCGCGCAAGCGTGAGTGAAGCAGCAGGATGAGGAGGGACATGCGTTCACGGCAGGTTCGAGCCGTGCCGACGCGGCGGCGGCCCCGCCGCGGGCGTGCAGCTTTGAACGCCGCCGGTGGCCCAGACTCGGCCAGTGTGGAACGACCTTGCGGTCGAAGGGCCGCCGATCGTTCCGGGTTGGACGATGCGCGCGGTGTCGGAAGCCAGCGCAAGGATCGTCACGCCACGAACCCTTCGTGCAGTTAAGACGCTGAAACAAGGAGCAGTTTGGGTTCGGGAGGGGCTCGATGTTCCTTAGGTTCCTCCAGTGCTGTTATTCTTGCCCTCCTGGGGCACGGAGGCGCTTACAGTGCCAAGAAGGGGCTTCCTTCCTTATGTAGCGTTCCTTCTCTCAGCGTCCCGACCGTATGCGTGCACGTCCCCCGCCCGCTCCGCAACACGGTCAGGAGCTCTGGCTCCGCGTGCCGCGCCGCCGGTCCTGGCCCACGGCGCTGCGGCGCGGCACGCCGCCCACGCTGCCCAGCCCCCCGGCGTGAACGTCCCGCCCCGCGGAGCGGAGCGGCACGCCGTCCGCTTTCGCGAGGCGCCGCGCGCCGCCGGGCCCGCCGCCGCGGCGCGCCGAGCGGGAGCCCCGAGCGCGCAGCACGCGGCGCCCCTGGCTCGGGGGAGAGGCCCCTGCCGGGCCCGTGGCGCTCCCCCGGGAGCACGCGGGTGCTCGCACAGGGCCCCCCCCCCTCTCTCTCGGCGGCGCGGCGGTCCGGGCGCACCCTCCGAGGCCATCCCCGCCTCCTGGCTTTTGAAATCGCCCGGACACCGCGCGCCGTGCATCGGATTGCAAAAAAAAAAACCTAGGATTGCAAAAAAAAAAGCATTTTTTTGCAAAAAAAACCAAAGGATTGCAAAAAAAAGCCCACCAAACCGCCCGAACCCAACCCGAAGGCCCCCATTTGCCTTCCATTCCCACCAGGGGGGGGGGCGTCGGAGAATACGGAGCAAGAGCACATCTGGGACCCGCACCCCTCCCCCCCCCCCCCGAAATTGTGGTCTTCGTGTTGGGTTGGGGTGGTCTGGTCGGTAGTCAGTGCGGACACACGTGCGCCGCCCCTCCCCATCCCCCCCCTGGCTCGGCTCCGTTCCGGGCGGCCGTTGGGCCAACGCTCTGGCCCCGCGGGAGAGGCCAGGGCATGGACAGCAGCTCGGGGTCAGCCGGCTGGTGCCCAGACGTCTGGCGTTTCGAAAACATCGAGACAAATGTTTTTCCTAGTTTTCGGCCTCTCGGGGCCTTTATTGGGCCTCGGGACCGTCGAAAAACGACCCTGGATGAAAAACCGTTTCCGGGGCAGTGGTCGAGATGTCGGGGGCCCGCTTCTCGAACAGCATCGAGGCGCCCGATGTCTGGGAACGGGGCTCAGCCAGAGCGCCAGATCCTGCAGGATCCTGCAGGCCCAGATTTTGGCCGAGCCAGGTTTGGGAGCCGCTCGCAGCCGGGTCAGGCTCGGGAGGCCCCCCAAAAATTGCGGCGCAGTTTTTCCCATGAGCCAGCTGAGCCAGGTTTGCGCCGTGCTGCGCCGGGTTAGTCCACGCCGGACGGGGTTCGAGCTGCGGAGGCGGGTGAGGGCGTCAAGGGGGGACAACGCGAGGATGAGCTGGTTCGTGGAACTGCACCTCGTCGTCGTAGTGGCATACCTCCTCCTCCTCCTCCTCCTCCTCCTCCTCCTCCTCCTCCTCCTCCTCCTCATCCTCGTCATCGTCCTCGGTGTGTATTCGTCGAATGGCGACGCCTTCGACGGGCGTCTGGATGCGAGAAGTTTCAGGGTGTGCACGACGTTCTCTGGGGCGGTCCTCTCAACTCGGGGGGTTCTGTCGCTTCAGCGCCGGCGCGGCTCCCAGACAGCTCTCCCGAGTGTGGGCCGTCTCCCTGGTTCGAAGTGGTGTTGTCGCTGCACTGCCGTCCGCGTGAACAGATCAGAATGTCGTCACGTTTTCGGCCGCGCGGCGTTTGTGGAGTTTCCTTGTCTCATGTCGAGTGTCTGCGTTGGGTTTTCCCGTCGCAGCTTGATAATTTCAAAGCGGTCGATGTGTCTGTAGTTAACGTGACGCGTGCGTCACCAGGGATAAGTGGGTGTCGCATTTCGGGAAATGATCAGCGTGAGGGGGCCGAACGGTCATTCGCTGTCACTTGGTGCGTGGCTGAAGTGGGGCTCCTCGGTGCGGGTGGTTGCTGTGCTGTTGTGCTGCGTTGTTGCATTGTTGTCGTCGTCCTCGCTCGCGGCCCGCCCGCGTCGCACCCGCGACCCACCCCGCGACCCACCCCCGCGACGCACCCCGCGACCCACCCCGCGACCCACCCGCGTTGCGTCGGTGAAGAATTCTGCGCCTGCGGGGCCCGGGGGCCTCGGGAGCGGCGCGAGTGCTCCTCGGCACGAAGTGGCCGCCGCGTGCCACCGGCGAGGTCGTGATGGGGGCCACCTGGGGGCCGCCCCGCCCGCCGGTGCGTGACCTGCACGGCCAGGCTGCGGCTGGCAGGGCTTCGATCGGGGAGCGCTCGGCATCCTGGGAATGCCCCAGGTGGTCTTCATCTACCAGGCGCAGGGGCAGTCCCACGCCGCTGCCAAGAATGGCCGGGATTGTGGGGCAGAGAGGAGAGCGGGGAGAGGTGAAGGGCAAGGGGAGAGAACGAAACGGAGGGACATGCAGAACAGCTTAGATGTGCAGAAGGTACGGCATTTGCAAAGTTAATTCTGACTCTTCTTTGGAAGCGAGGGTGGTGGTGGGGAGGGGCGAGAGGCAAGCTATAGGTGCGCTCGCATCATGTCTGGCATCCTATCCCTCTTGCCCGTCCGTTATTCCCATGGTGCTCATCTCTTTCTATCTGTTCGCCGGGATGGGTGCGGGATCACATCGGGATCCCAGGGTGGCGTTTGCAGTGTTTGAGTCAGTCGTCTAATGGTATGTGCGCGGCGACGGGGGGCGAGGACACGTGCGGTGAGGTCGGTGAATGTCTGGGCGGAGAGTGCCCAGAAGCGCCCCGAAAGATTCCAGAATTCGTGGATCCGCTCCACTTCAAGAAAGCGTGCGATACTCCATATTGGGAGCTCGAAGGGGCCTGAGGACGCTCTACTCAGCGCCTGCGGGACGGTGGCGGATGGTGGCGGATAGTCATGCAGCCAGCATAGGCAATCGCCAACGGCGATCTATAGTATTGGTTGTCAGCCCAACACGAGTCCCTTTCGCTCGAGACTGGTCACGGAGTCATTTTCAAGTGGCTCACATTCAAGGCCTGGGTCACAAATCCGGGCCTGGCTGCGCTGCTCCTGGAGGGCGGATTCGTGTGCACCGCAGGCGGCTCCCTGCAGTACAACGAGCCTGGAACCAGAGTCCGTGACTGCAGATGTAGGGCAGAGGGGCACGAGATTGATGGGAAGGATGTCATCTGCAGAAGGCCGGCACGACCGAAGAGGGTTGGATGGAAAAAGCAACAAACATCTGGGCCTGGCTGCACTCTGGAGAGTACCGCACAGCCCACATTCGGAGGTCGACAGGTTATCCATCCTGCCAGGTCGATTGGTGAACTACTCTTCTGCGCCCGCCAGGTGTGGTCCCGATTCGCTTTCGCTCACGAAAGGGTGTTTCGCGAACAATGGTTCTGACTTCCCGACGCATCGGCGTCACCACAACATTCTACTACTACTACTACTACTACTACTACTACTACTACTACTACTACGACTACTACTACTACTACTACTACTACTACTACTACTACTACTACTACTACTACTACTACTACTACTACTACTACTACTACTAACTACTACTACTACTACTACTACTACTACTACTACTACTACTACTACTACTACTACTACTACTACTACTACTACTAGTACTACTACTACTACTACTACTACTACTACTACTACGACTACTACTACTACTACTACTACTACTACTACTACGACTACTACTACTACTACTACTACTACTACTACGACTGCTACTACGACCACTACTACTTCTATTTCTACTACTACTACTACCACTACTACTACTACCACTATTCGTATTACTACTATTACTATTAGTACAAGTACTACTACTATCACTGCTGCTACTACTACTACTACTACTACTCCTACTAGTACTACTAGTAGTACTACTAGTACTACTACTACTTCCATTCCTATTACTATAACCACCTAGTGCTACTAGTACTACGCCTACTACTCCTACTACTACTACTGCTACTACTACTACTACTACTACTACTACTGCTGCTGCTACTACTACTACTACTACTACTCCTGCCACTACTACTACTACTGCTGCTGCTACTACTACTACTACTTCTTCTACTTCTTCTACTACTACTACTACTACGACTACTACGGCTACTACACTACTACTACTACTACTACCACCACTACTACTAATCTACTACTACTACTGCTACTACTAACCACTACTACTACTGCTGCTGGCACTACTACTACTACTACTACTACTACTGCTACTCCTACTACTACTACTACTACTACTACCACTACTACTACCACTACCACTACTACTACTACTACTACTACTACTACTACTACTGCTACTACTACTACTACTACTACTTTACGACTACTACTACTACTACTACTACTACACTACTACTACTACTACTACTACTACTACTACTACTACTACTACTACTAACCTACTACTACTACTACTACTTACTACTACTACTAACTACTACTACTACTACTACTACTACTACTACTACTACTACTACTACTACTACTACTGCTACTACTGACTACTGCTACTGCTACTATGCTGCTGCTACTACTACTACTACTACTACTACTACTACTACTACTACTACTACTACTACTACTACTACTACTACTGTGTGTGTGCGTGTTGCCCCCCAAGAGGCCACGCGCCCACCGGGAAATCTCGTATACATATAACGGCGCACCTGGGCCCGGGCCCCCGGGGCCGTGGCCCCTACCACAAATGGGGGTGCACAGTATCATTCTCCCTGTGCTTTTTCCATGGTTTCTGCGACCCTGGGCCT